TGTTTCAAGTGGTAAGATTATGAGCTTTAATAAGTAAAATTATCCCAGCTACAATGACAGACAACAAATATTACATTTATAGTATTACAACTAAAACCGTTTTTGACACCCCCACCGCAGTTTGTCCTTCATGAGCCTTCGTAGACAAGATGGCGGTGCAAGATGGCGGCTGCCTGTAGTGGCGACCCGCGACCACGGAGATATAAACATCTTTTTATAAGGTAGAAATAATAAAACAAGGTCTTTGTCTGCAATGATTAGACATGTTTTTTTATTATTGTCCTTAGTGATTATCTCAATTTCGGCTAAAAGAATTGACAAAATCCTACACACTGTGCCTTTAAATCCATAAACTCCAAATCAACTTGGTCAAACAATACCAGCCTTTACACCCATTAAACTCTCACTTCCACATCTCATTTACATTGTGATGAATAATCTGTAGGACCATTGTACACAAAAGACTTCAACTCCCCCCTTCACTCCTCTAGAGGTCTATGAAAGGTGTGCAGAGGTGTTAATGGCTACCAAACGCTAGCCCTGTCGCTAATCACCTCCTATTCATCCAGCCCTAAATGCAGACAATGGTAATCAGTCACTACTACCATAATTAGGCCTAAAGCTAATTGGATTAGAACATGGTGGGGCAGTGAGGTCATCCGTCACAGTACAAAGTAGGAAGGATGAAGATGGGGGGTCAGTGGTGATGCTGGTGGGTCAGTGTCATAAAGATGCTTGCCACAAAATGTGGATAATTGTGTAGTGAGTGAGGATTTTACAAATTCTGTTAACAGAACTTTAAATATAAAGCCTGGACTGAAAAAAACCACAATAACAAAGAGCAATAACTTCATCAAACTGGTAAAAAAAACTACAAACACCTGTCATGCTAGATTTAAATTGACCAAATGTAATTTATATATTTGTGAGGATAAAGTCCATTTTACCATACAATGTGTGCAGTTTGAAACCTTTGACTCCACTTTTAGACCTTGGAGGGAAGTGCAAAAAAAAAAAACAAAATCATTGCTTTCATTCACACATGACTGATCTCAACCTTTWCTTGAACCTCTCACTGTTTTCCAATTCTAAACTCCTGTCTTCATTCTTATTGTTATTCCTGTCTTTTAACTTTTTATGTCTTATCTAACTTTTATGTTTTTTTGACAAATGTAAAACATCAACACCACTACTGCAATGTTACCCGAGTTACCAGATTTACCTGGCACTCATTTAACAAATAGGCTTTTTGTGTTTTTATTTATTTGTAAAAGACTTCAGTTTTGGCTTCAACTATTTATTCTTACTGAATAGGGTTGGGTGATATTGGCCAAATAATTAATCACGATTATGTCATTTAGCTGATAGATAATGTGATGATTAATAAATGACCATTGCACTTGAATGTTTTTGATTCTTAGTTAGTTACCCTGTATTGTAAAATTATACTTACAAATCATCAGCCAAACTAATATTTTAATTTTAACAGGTTCAAATAGTAAGCTGTAAATGGAAACCTACCTTTTTCACAATTTAGAGTGTCAGTATATCTTTAGTAACGTAATATCCACAGATTCATATGCGTGCTTGAAAGAACGAGTCACACATAAAAATACATCATCGCGTGGCAATAATTTCAGCAACTGCAAAGTAGCAAATATTAAGTGTTGACAGTTTTTCTGACGATTAACATATGATTTTGCGCAACCAAAATCTGAGTAAGTAATGTCTAGTTTTGAGCTTAAGTATTTATTAAATGTTTCTGTGTTTTTATATCAACCTGTGTGAGAGACAGAGAATGTGAAACAAGAGATGCCTTGTGAGGAAGGTTAAAAGCAATGAGATGCAAAACCTTAGGGTTTCATTTTGTAATTTTATTTTTATTTATTTTTTCATTTTTTTGTCCAGTTTCTAAAAACAGTGTACCTTTGATTCTTTTCTTTAAGATGATGAAAATATTTCATTTTATCTCCACACACTTCAGAATGCATGTTTTTAGCAACAAGAAAAGAGTGTTTAATTTGCTTTATGAATGAATATTTGTCCCTCTGGTTTCCAACTATTGTACTGGCCATATCTGATAACTTCCTCTGCATCATCCTAGACCATCATCATCAACCTACTGCAAACCATGTGCTGCAATGTTAGTGTCCAAGAACTAAATTTTCTCATTATGTAGAGGTTCTTTAAAGGTGTTARGAGAATTTGTAATTTGTTAGTTGGATTAATGTATCAAAACGTTAAACCGGAGCATCAGATGACTTCTATGACTGTGTGTGAACCTGCGGAGAACAATCACAGCAGTYAAATAAACTGACCTTGGTTTGCTGTTTAGAATAATAATGGAAGTAGTCCTTTAAAAAAGCATTTTTCAGGCTGCTGGTTTCTCACATACATACAAAAAATGACTCAGGTTAAAGAAAGCTATAAAAAACAGTTGGTGCAAACAAAACCCAGTGTCACAAGGGCCACACCTTAAATGCCACAGCAATATAATTAAAGTGGGTTTCCTTCCAGCGGCTAAAGACTGATGAACATTCCTACACCTTCCCTCACTTCTTTGCTTCTTCTCTAATATGTGCCCTGTCATGTTGTTTTTTGTTACTCTGCCTGAATGCATATGTATGTATTTAAGCTGGAGACGACACAAGGGGGGCAGTAAGGCATCTTCAGATATGTTAATTAACCTCCTTTCACAAGCAGTAGCTTTTCAAATGCTTGCGTACACACAAGTTGTTACATCAACAACAAAATAATACAAACAAAACAATCCTTTCAATAAAAGCCACCAGCCTAAAACACACTATTCTCTGTGTGCTGTCGCACTCTTCTCCCATTCAAACCGCCTTTTTTCCCTTTGTGGCTGCCTTGTCCTGTTGTATGGAAGGCTTTGTGTCAGGCCTATTGTGTCTGGCTAAGCAGCAAAGCAAAGATAGCGTCTGCTAGTTAGAGGAGGGTGTGGAGAAAGGGGGGTGCGCAGCGAGATGATATGCACACTGTGCATAGCCTCTGAAGTTTATGTGATGTTTGAAAGCCTCACAAAAAGAAAAGGAACAAAACAAACTGGTGGTGGCAAAGAAGCGAGCGAGGAAAAGGATCAAACGAGTCTTAACCCTGAAATTCTTACAAGCTCCCTAAGTGATAAAATGATAGGATAATCAATGAAGATGTGTAGCCTGAGACACAAGGAACGTTCTGTGTCAGAAGTCAAAATCCATTCGGGGCCAATTATATCATTCTGGCTCAACTCAAAGAGCATTGCTAGATCATTAAAAAAAGTAAATAGCTGACATCTTAGTGCAATTCTTTCTTTATGAAACAGAATTGCAAGTTTTTACAGAGTCATTGGTTTCTTTTATGTCWGCTGTTGTAGTAACAATGGGGCTTATGGCTTAGCACTAAACCACAATCAGCAAATGGTCAATAAAGACCCCTGAACACTGCATGCTGATAGACAGAAATGGGCAGAAAGAGGTGAAAATAAAAGAAAGAAGAAACCTTAGGAAGGTCAGGAGAAGGGTAAGAAGACATAAACTGAAAAATCTAAGGAAAAAAATGTTTGAAAGTGTGGAGGAAGGAAATGAAGAAGAGAATAAGGTGAAGTGGAGATGAGAAGTCTGTTAGTTTGAATCCCACAGAGGCAGAGAAATTATTGGGCTTTCACAAGTACACAAACAACATGTTCAAAATATGCTTTCTTACTTTAAAAACAGGAAAATGAAAAAAGAAAAGGAAAAAGATAAGAAAATCCACTCAGAGCAAGCAAGTGTGCCACATGCAGAAATACAAAACGCACCACCAACACCCCCACGCTGGCATGACCTGCACTGTTTTAATTGGTTTCTAAGGGCTGCTTTAATGCTCTTTCTGTCCCAGAGGGGAATGCAAGCAGAAGATGATGGATGATGGTGGCCAAGGTAGCATCCAAGTCCAGTACTGGGACACTGCTGAACCACACAGGGACACGCRGACACAGTGTGTTTCTATCTGCTCGACTCTGAATGTGATCTTGAGGACAATATACAGGTCAGCCAAGTTGTGAGTTATTAACTTATTTTGTCTTTGAAGATTTGAATGTAGGCTTCTCAGTGAAAGAGCAGAAGGTTTGTGTATTCGAGTTTCACACACTCGTATGCAAAGTGTTAAATGTACAATGTTAGGGCAGCACAATTAAAAACAGCACTTCAGCAGCTTAAGGGTCTAATTCTTACCATGTCTAAAATCACATTTTAACATTTAAAACATCAACTGCTGTGTTTGGAGACGTTGTCAGGTGCCAGAGCTGTTAGGGAAACAGTACTCCACTGAACATTATCAAACTATACCCAAATAGGTAATATCACATTTGGAAATTACTCAAAATAGATTCAACATGTACTGCTGTGAAATCTCTGACCAGCTGTAGATGCTGTAAATGTCTTTTATTCCCAGCTGATCACGCATTCGCCAAGAAAATAAGAGGTTATTTCACAAATTAAAGGACAGAACAGCTAGCATGGTGCAACAATAAACAAATTGTTTGGAACAGAGGACAATCAAACAGTGAAAAGTGGATTTGATCAAACAGTTTGTAAGAAATGAGAATATTCAATTTGTGTGGCTGACGTGATGCTCTTTGGGAGAAAGGATACAATGGCAGATGGAAAGAGAGAGATTGTCATCTGCGGATGTTCTTTTGACGTTAAATGTCACACTGTAAATGTCATAGGTGAAGACGAGAGGTGAGGATGGCGGCAGAGCTTGGTGATAATGTTTCCTTCGATGTCGCTTCCTTCCGTTTCTTTGTCCTCTCTGTTGCCTTCTCAAACATGCAGCGTGTTGCCTCTCCCGCTGATTCTGAGGCTCCTCTCTGCCAAGTTTTTGACTGCCACCAACATCTCGCCCAGAGGGCAAGATTTACCCCCACATATGCATGCAAGAGCACATGCTCTTGTGTGCTACCACCCCCTCACCTCTTTCCCTACACTTCCACAACCCAAATGTCTCTGCATGCTTGCTTCTAAGAGATAACTGATGCGAGAACAAAGAAAGAGAAGCTAAGCTAAGGGATTTATTTATGTGCTACTGCTTCAATTAACCAATATCTCCATTAAAAATTCAAAGCAACACATTGTCACGCAGGAAATGAATAAAGGACTCAAGTCAAACAGGTCTAAGCTGTGCGACCTAAGCAAATGCATTGATTCTTCCACACTTATTTAAACTACCACAAGTGGTATTCATTCAAAAATACTTAAAGAAAAAGATGTGTTGGCCGCTTTAAAAAGAAGGAAATAGGTTAGAAGAAAAGAAAGACGGAGGACACATCAGTGAGTCAATTTCACACTGAGCTGTGTGTGTGTGTGTGTCCCATAGTGAGCTCTACATATAGTGACCCGGGTCACAGTCAGACGAAGACCACCGCCATGGTTGCTGATGGCAACAGATGGCTACACTGTGGTGTTTAGACACCTTAGCTCAATGAGCCTATCATGTGCTCCTGCGCACACAGCACCCATGGTGCGACACAATTAACACAGATCCATATCTTCAGTTTTCTTTTTCTTTCTCCCCAGCTTTAACACATACTCCAGACAACCAGAGGTGTGTGTGTGTGTGTGTGTGTGTGTGTGTGTGTGTGTGTGTGTGTGTGTGTGTGTGTGTGTGTGTGTGTGTGTGTGTGTGTGTGTGTGTGTGTGTGTGTGTGTGTGTGTGTGTGTGTGTGTGTGTACGTGTGTGCGTGCGTGTGTGTACAGCCATCATCTATAATTATGTCAGTGTTTTCAGTCTTGGTGTGTGTCAGCTGCCTCCTCCTGACCAGCCCATCTGTGTTGGGCTGCAGTCGCGTTGTTGGCCTCTAAGCTGTCTATCTTGTCTGCTGACTCGTCTCCTGTGATGTATGATGTTCGCCCCGTGTACTGAGGCCAAGAATGACACAGCACAGGGAGGCCTTCAGATATCTACAATTAAAGGAGCATTCCCCTAAACTGAGACTGACTTGACCACTTYACAAAAGGATGTTAAGGTTTGTGGCAGCTTATCTGTATTCTTAATAAACATGCATGATAAGTAATAACTGTTACATTCAGGGCTTACCTTTGTGATTTTGGGGTGTGCACAACGGCTGTTTCCAGTTGTAGCATGCATCCAGGTGCTGTCTGAGGAAGTACACTCTTGTCTCAGAGAGCATTTCTTGTCCCCTACGCACCAGCCACACTCAAATCTTGGGTTTGCCTTCAAACACATCCCACAGCTCTCTCTCAGTGCATAGCACTTATATAGGTGAGCTAGAGATGAGAAGAACAGGGAAAAGTGAGAGAGAGTGGAGGACATAAGGTAGTGAGAATGCAACCCTACTATTAATATTTCCTTTAAATTAGACAGAAAGACAGAATTTATTTGTGTTTCATCTGCAATGAAAATGTATTCTGTGTAACAAAGTTAAGGTTTCCTTTCCTTAAAGACCCCAGGATTATCAGAGCAAAGCTTTACTTCTTTCTCTGCTATTTCAGCCCAAAATCCCATTGGTCATGGACCAGCATTAAAGAAACCCTGCACCAATTACTGCCTGCTAAATGATTCCTCTCTAATTATGTAAACCTAACAGTATTTACAGTGGGTTAGCATTGAACACACTCACTGTATAATGATCAAGACTGAGAAACAGGAAAGTGGGAGCCATCTTTGGCCGCTGATCACCTCTGGACACACTTCAGCAGATTTACATTTGAGATAAAACAARGCACACGCACTGATGCCTCAGCTTGATATGGTCTGCTTGTCATTCTACAGATGTGTGGTATGTGTTATGTGTAAGTATATGTTACAGATGTGTGGTTTATGTTTCAAATCCATTAATACGACATCAGACAGGGTCAAACAGCTTGGGAAATACATGAAATCGGAGACAACAGCAGCTTGCTTTGTACATTTAGGCTACAACAAGTGATCAATACCTGACAAATTTCAGAATACAATAAAATGGTAAAATGGTAAATGGTAAAATGGTAAAATGGTAAAATCACCATTTTACCTGCTGTTAACAGCATCTATAGGTATATGAAATATTTCAAGAAAACTGCTAGTCTGCAACAATAAAAAAAAAGTGTCACAACTAGACAAAGCCACTCCCTCAACTGTTCAAAGCTCCAAGTTCATGTCATCTACAGGCCATATTGAACGATGATGTTATTTTATCTCACAGCAGGGGAGTAGTGTTACAGTCCCCCCGCTGGGCTGTACAAGCCACAATTATTATTGAGACAGCACAGTAAAGACTGTTTTACCAGTAATTATATCCAACAGACATGATCTCARTGTCTTCTCCCATTGTGGTCCATAGAGTTTGTTGGTGTTCAATCATTACATGCATTGATGATAATATGAGGTTATAGTATATAAAGAGATGCACATAAGCGGTGCGCAGGTGCGCATGCGCGATTAAAAAAGAAAAAGCGCACCAGATGGAATGTCATAAAGCTCCCTTGTGTACCTGAGATTGTGAAAACAACAGCTAGCAGGGTCGCAAATGCGACCTGATTTCTCAAAAACAACAAAACAAAAAACAAAAACAAACAAACAAACAAACAAAAAGTCCAGCCTCACTGGTGTGCCTGGATCGTCGCTTTGTGAGAGGAGGGCAGCGGGACCCTGATGTATAAGGATTAAACGGACACTGCTTTCAATGAATCAGACCAACTCCAAAGCCGTTTTATCCAATCAGAGCAGAGCAGGGCAGGACTTTCAGTGAGAGCAGTTTTCAGCAGAGACAGGTTGAAGCAGCGGCTGCAGTGTTCAGTCCTGACATCTCCTCCTGCACTTTGTACGGGAACGCGCCTCAGCGCATGCAGGCTGTGAGTCTTTCTGTGAGATTCACTGTTCGAGTTCTTCTAAACCATACTACCTCTAACAGAAGAACATTTATTTCCCCCATATCAAAGCAAAGATGAGTCTGTTTAACATCACCCCCATCAAAAAAATAAATAAAATAAAAACTTGCCATGTTCTCTAGGTGAACGAGTTTTAAATGTTATTTTAATTTATCAGAAAGGTCCATAAATTTCATTCTTCACAATTTTATGATAACAACAAGGTTCTTGATGTGCTGAACATGTTTGTATTTAGAATCATACTGTGATACAACTGCTCTGGGATAAATGTAATTTAATAAATGATAAAATATGAAGAATAAATCATTTTAAATGATTACATGAACTGAAACCATCTAAATATAATCTTTCTGAATAAAATAATCTTTTAAAAATAAATAAGTCTAGCAAATAAAACATTTGTTCTGTGCAAGAGACAGATATTTGCTACATGGTCTGGAGAGTGTGGAAAGCTGGTTTAAACAAGGCCAAAGATCTGGAAGGCCAAACTACAGGAGCTGTACATCTCAGGGTCATGTGTAATCTAACAGACATTTAAACATGAAATGTTCAGTTTGAGATGACATATGCCCATGGGTCAGCCCNCATTTGTTCTGTGCAAGAGACAGATATTTGCTACATGGTCTGGAGAGTGTGGAAAGCTGGTTTAAACAAGGCCAAAGATCTAGAAGGCCAAACTACAGGAGCTGTACATCTCAGGGTCATGTGTGTAATCTAACAGACATTTAAACATGAAATGTTCAGTTTGAGATGACATATGCCCATGGGTCAGCCCACTGGCCACTTAGGTAGTTTATAAAATTTATGCAGAGTAAAAAAAAAATAATCATAAAATAAAWAAAAAACCTCAGTGGACTGATTTTGCATGATGTCCCGAGACATTGCCAGCTGATAGAAGGGGTCATAAAACAGAATAGGGTGATATTAAATGCTCTGACACCCCTCTAGATAAACGTGTTAAATGACTGAAGGAAAATATGAGCATCAAGCAACAACCCTAGGTTCTCCCCTGAGAAGCAGACCAAAAATTTTATGTGGAACCCTGATTTTATATACATAACCTCACGTTACCATCATATAAAATGTATTTCTTTACTCTTTTTTAAGGTGTATAAAAGTATTACACAAATCAATATGACCCACAAATACTATGTGATCATAAAAAGACAAGACAATCAAATAAACACATTTTGGAGGCAAAGTTTCTACCCTTCGCAGCAGAAACTTCCACAAACCTTATTAACTTGGCAAACAAACTGGAAGGCACATATGATATTCAGTTGATTCAAATTTTCACAACAAAATCAAGCAGAAGAATCTTTAAAATGACGAATTCACTCTTTGGTTTCAGGTGATTAGCAATGGCAAGACATAAAGACGTTCAAACACAGCCTTTTAAACAGCTCACAAGTCAAGTATGGATTTGAAACTCATTGCCCTGGCTGTGCAAGTCTTCGAACAACAAAAATGTTTAATTTGAGAAGGGAAAGAAACTAATTGCTTTCACAGCAGTAATATGCACATGTGGTCAGAGCCGCTGCTACAACACATAACTCATGACAAGACACATAGAGAGAAAGTGGCTGCATGGTCTAGTAGGAAGAGCATTGCTTAAATGCATCTTTACAAATAGATATTATAGTTTAAAATATAGTAAATTAGTTTAACTTACCTTTGATGTTGTATGGGTTGTCGATGATAAAGTTTCCATTCCAAACTACGGACAGATCCACAGGCAGGTCGCTGATGTCGTTGCCATCATAAGTATACTGAAACAGAAAAACAACAATAAGACAGGCACCAATACACTGAGTTAACCATTTTCTAACAACAGTCCCTTCATTAGATGTCACAAAACTTTTATTAACACAAAGAAACTATTAATAAACAAAAACTGAAACAGACAATATTTAAAAAAACGTGGTTCAGATAGTAGCTGGTAGTAATATAATATGCTGCAGTGCTCACACAGTAAGGGSCATAAAAATGAACGATGGGAGACAGACTATATTGTGATTTTCACACACAGCACATCCGCTGCAGTCTGGCAGAGCGCAGAGTTGATTAAGAAATTGGGATCCCAATCACTGCATGACTCATTCCATCCCAGTGATGAATGAAAAGCATAATATCTCTCCAACAATAACATTCCCATCTAATTTCATTTTTGCATCCTGAACTAATAAGAGTTGAAATGTAATTGACTTCTTGTTGGCATAATCATTTTTATGGATTTGCTTTAAATGAGACAACGAGCCTTCAAAAGCAGTAATCTGATGGGGTGTGTTAACTGAAGAGATGACACGTAAAAAAAAGCTCCTTGGAGACACTTCCTAACAGATAAATAATGACAATTATCACCCCAAAATAAAAAGCAGATTTGTAAGTTGCACATCCTCCCACTGTGTTACACAGAGCAGCCAAACAATGAGGCAAATAAAGAAATACTCGGAATGAAATTCATTCTCAGTTTATTACGACGTAAAAACAGATGCTGGTTTGAGAGAGATACCCCGCTCCATGTGGTGAAGTGGGGGTGATAGCTGCTGGCAGTTTAGATAGAACCTAATGTTTCTGTCAGTCAAGGAGTGCCCAGTAACTTTCCCCACCACTGCAATGGTCACTATCTTCACTGACTCCAGGGGGAGAGATAGCAGGACTCTTCTCTTGTGGTGGAGTGCTGATAAAATCTCATGTGAAAGCCCCCATCCTGAGGCTACAGGGCCCTCGCAGATTGAATCAAGCTACAACTTTGCCACTATGTGATATGTCCTACTTCAATGCGATACTGTTAGATTTATCTTGACAGTGGTAATAATAGTGATTTTAAATGTATTGGGGGGGGTGGGGGGTGGTGGACAAAAATGTGTATAGACAAGATATGAAAATGAGAGGACGTAGCAGTGTGAATAGTTGATTAATTTTCTTTGCTTCTATGACTGGGCGATTTATTTATTTTTATTAAGCAAGCCCTAAAGGTGGAAAGAAATAAAGATGTCTTTGTGTATCTCAGAAGAAATTAAGAGTTTTGTCTTGGAGGCAGTTTTAAAAAAGAAATTCTCAGATTACTTTTTTCAGGCACATTTTAGTACTGATTTATTCAGCAGCTCTGAAATAAAGAGGGACCTTTTAGACAACGTTACCTGGAATCTGGCCTAAACAACACTCAAAACAATGTGCGTTGCTTAATGTAACTGTACTTTAAGCAAGATGCCTGGCTTTGGAGAGTATAATGTCTAAATTATAAATCTGAACAAAAATTTAACCGTGTGTCTTTACATTGACAGATATTCTAAAAGGAGGCATCAAATCAGAGTGTTGCAAAAAGGACAGTACATAAAATAAGAAAAAGTGCATAAAGTTAAAARGTAATTTTATGCATATAACTACTGTTCCCTGAAGGAGAGGAACGAGATACAATACATACACGCATACTTGTACCGAGTGAATTAACTGAAAGGGAACAACAAGTAATTTATCTTGAGTTTTAGACAGAAAAGTTTCTGGAATACACTGTATGACCAGAAGATTAGAGGTGGAMCAGGAACAAGTTAGCATAATAAAACAAACATCTATCGTCATCACACTCAGTAGGTCCAACATAAATACCATAAAGGACTGCTTGAACTGCAGTAAATGCTGGGCTGCATACTAAAAGTATGATTGGCCATTCAACTGAACTCTCCCTGCCCTTGTTGCCCACACTTGGTGCAGATGAAAGTGGCAGAGAAAATAAAAGTACATTTATTGCAACTGACATCGTCATCACACTGTTAATAATTTTTGCATATTTTCTTAATATTGTGCAGCCCTGGAGAAGAAGCACGACACAGCGGGTGGGGCAAAATCAGAGAGCAGCAGAGGTGAAGGAGAAATAGTGCAGCCAAGATGGATAGAGGGAGGTGATTGTGTGTTATTCCATGGACACCATTCATTTACACATGGAATAAGAGGCCAGGGCTGGGCTGTAAGCGCCTGAGCTGGTGGGGGCTAAAGTGAAATTGGCATTTTCAATTTGTTCTCTGACATGTCTGCCTTGGTCTATTCACACATTCCTCTGCGCCTCCTTCTGTCCCTATCCAACCTCTTCCTCTTTTCTTTTTCTCCCTCTCATTATTTCTTTCCTGTACCTCTGTACAAACCTCTTTTGCTATCAATCTCAGTCTGACTTTCTCCCCTCGCACCTCAATGCCCCTCAAAATGCACAGTCAAATAAGGAAATATGTAACAGCTTTCTCTATCGCTTATACCAAACATTTCTAGTGAAACACATGTGCGCTCTGTGCTATAAATATGCATCCTGCACATGAATTAAACGGTCAGAAAATTCATCAAAGACTCATCACATGATCTTCTATAAAACACTTACAAGTGATGCATAGAAACAGGAAGATAAACCCTCGAACATCACCACATTTTGGACTTGAGTGATTATTTTTTCTCCAGTTCAAGTCTATGAACTTTGTTCTTTTCCACCCTCCTTAGTTCTCTCACCGCCAAGAGACCACCCAGTCAGCATGAGAACAAGAGCACTTTTTCTCCCCCCACTGAAGAGAGTGAGAGAAACGCATGAGGATGTTTGAGAGCGTGTGGACATGCAAGACAATATGAACGAAGAGGAGGCAGAGAAAGGAAGATGCCTTGGGACACTGCGCTGTGAAGATGTGGATAAAGAAAAAAAATGTATAAAAGACGAGGAGATAAAATGGAGAAAACAAAGGGAGAAAAAAAATTAGGCTTCTGAGATAAAGCTGGGATAAGAAGGCCAGAGAAGCATGTGGGATGAAGATGTTAAATGAGTGAAAGACAGAAACAGAGCAAGAAATGCAACGTGAACAGAGCTCTGCATTTTGGAGGTGTTCAAACTGATGACGGTGTTTGAAGTTTGGCAACTTCTCTTGAGTTTTAGTCACACAAGCAGGTGTGTTTCTCACATTCTTCCGCTTGTTTTTAATAAAGTGRCAGTGTGGTTGGAAACTAAAGTGGCTACAAGCTATAAAAAAAAAATGCAGCACCTTAATTAGGTTAAATTAGGAAATATTTATAATTAGATTAAATTTGAAATTATTTCAAAAACAAACACATAAATGCAATACATATTCCAGAATGACAAATCCCAGCTAATGAACTGATTGCACCATAGAGCCTGTTCACTATATACAATCTCTAAAAACAACTTAGATTTTGTTAGATTGAAGGGTTTAATTTTCTGCCAGGCTATTATTAGAGATATGATTGTTTCTTCCCAACACAAAATGGAAGTGTCCACAGTGCTGGTGAACACATCAGACACATCGATGTGTCAAAATGACCAAACGGCAGGACTGAGGAAATAGTTTCCCTCTGGTAATCCACTGTCAGATGTGTTATATGGCTCTGCACTGAATCCACTTCTYTATTTCAGTGTCATTAACGATGTCTTTGTGCTGCTGTGTTTTATCCCCTTGGGACAGATGACCTGCTACAGTAAAGGACGAGGGGTCAAGCTACCTTTCACGTCCACCGCTGCTTTTCTGCTGAGCGGCGAATCAGAACARGGCCGGATTCCCCTCTGAATCACACAGCCAATTCTGCTTGATAACATAATAGATGATGGATGTWTGTGGACTCCTTAACCCTGCTTTACAGCCTGACGAGTGGTTTCTCTGAAAATCTGCACCACACAAACACACATATTGGAGACGTAAGTGCTGACGGCTAAAACAATAACACTGCTTGACCTCTACTCCTTTTTTTTACTCCACCTTACAGGTACGTGTCTCTGTTGGTTCATCTATTCCCTTTGGGCGAGGGTCATGTGTGGTGAGAGGAAAAACTGGGATATCTGCTCCTTCACTCAACAAAAGCATTAATTATTAGTTAGGGAGAAGTGTGTTTGGGCATGTACGTATTTAATAGGCAGCACAAGGTGTGGGAGGAAGAGAAACTGTTAGGTTATCATCTGAAGCTCATCTTCTCTCATTGCACCAAAGGCTTATTAAACTTTCATACTAAATCAGCACTGTGGCTCAATGCACAGTTCAGGGAATACAAACAAAACATGCACCTTTTGCAGGATTTTCTCCTTATAAGATAGACGCCATTAGGAACATGTAAAAATAAAGTGATTTTYCAGATAAATTAGTCATTCTTTAATAGTCAGTGTTTTTATGAAAAGAAGAGAAAATATGTTGAACTTTTCCAACTATGTGATAGCAAAGCTTTTTGCTTTTCTATAACAAAATTTCAACAGTGTTTCTAGGTCAAGCACTGTCTAAACTGGCCTTCACCATGTTTTGTCTGACTGTTAGAAGTCAGTGTTGCACTGTTCTTCACAGGAAACAACAGCTGGACATTTTGTCACATTTGAGGGACAGAGTTAACACTCTAGCTTCTCCTCTCCAAAAGTCAAAAACACAGTGAGGAAGACAACAAATCTATTTGTCTAAAACTCAGGTTTATGTTTGTTAAATAGTTTTAAACATACACATATTAAGAGTTCTCGCTCAGTGTGTTAAAATYTGAAGCGAACTGGCATTTTAAATGCTCCAWGTACTTTATTAATGTGACACACAYTGGCAGCTCTGAGGTCAGCAACTCTTTTGACAGTATTACATGTTTCTGAAAGAAAAGTCTGCTTTCTGAGTGGTTCTGCATTTGAGAACTATAGAATGTGCTCCTGTGGTGGTATGTTTAAATAAAGCAACTAGAAACACAAAACTCACCCTATAGAGTGTCATTGATTAAACAAATTATTAAAAATTGCAATTGTTTCAACTCAATGTTTGAA